CAAACACCAAAAACCCAAAGGATTTGATTGCCGCACAGTGGAAGAACCAGAACATCTCCCTTCCCCAAACATTTGGAAAACCTGAGGTTTTCTTTCATTCTGCAGAAAAGGACTTATTGCTTAAAAGCTTGGTTCTTCCCAGGCCAGCCTAAGGAGCATTTCCAAAGCTTAAGCACGCACCACATACAGAATACGTTCGATCAACATGCACACCACCATCCTAAGCTGTAAAGCAAGAAGGGTAAGCTTAAGTTCTGCTAATGTGATCAGAGTGAACTTGCCCTAAAAGAGAAGACAACAAGCTTGTTTTCTCGACCCCTAATCAATACTAAAAACAGAACGGTGGTCAACAAGACATTTCTCCCATTTCTTTTTGCCAAACTTCTTCCCGGAAGGAGAATACAACCCTATTTGTGGACTGCTGTATTAGAAGATGTGCATCTCCCCAGAAGTATCACACTACTTCATGCACGTTGGCCAGAGCAAGGAGTTTGACAGAAAGAAAGTACTTGAACGGCTCTGCACTGACCCCAGGATTCCAGCTGCACCACCTTCTTCTGCAGCAGCGACTTGCAGCAGCCTCAGTTTCCACAGCAGAGCTAGACTGCGGGTAGCAAGGCAAGACCCACAGGTAGTGACAGACCAGCCAGTCTCGGTGGGGGACAGAACAGCCACCAGCAGTACCTGGAGGGAGGAAATTTCCTTTTGCCATTGGGTCAGGTGAAAAGAAAGACGACACAAGGTTTACCCTGAGTCAATCAACGTGACCAACGTGAAGAAGGCAAGTGAAGGACACACCATCAACAGCACTTTGGGGTAAGATAGACTGCATCACTTCCAAGTAGTTCATGTCTTATCATTGAGCCAGAAAAGGGATGAGAAGCAAGCAGTCTCCCCAAAAGAATTAGACAGAAGTGCAGGCATCCTAGGAAGTGTTCCTGTATAAAGCAGAAGAATGGCCCAACCACAGTCTTCAGAAGCTGACCATAAGAGTAACAGCCAGTCTCCTAACTCTACTTTCAAAAATGTATTGACTTCTTTCCCTCTCTTCTGCATGATACCGCACAAACATACTGCTCTCATTTCAAGGCCAAAGATGAGTTGGGACCCAGGATGCTTTTGGACAGAAGGAAAGAAAGATTAAGGACTGCAGCAGGTTTCCTCACAGGAAAAACGCTTGAAGTATCTGCAAGGGTTTTCAGACTTCTAAGACTCCTGTTACAGTAAGAATGAGACAAATCTGCTTCCAAAATAGCTTTGTCATCAGAAAAGCAGTAAAACTTATTCCAAAATAATCCTTGACTATTTCTCAGCATTGAAAACATTATGGAGCATGTTACCAACCAATAAAAATTATGAAACAGAACACAGAATCAGGAAAATAAGTCTGTGGCTTCAAGTTTACTTTGTTCTCATTTGTTTTAGAAGTGTTCTCCTTTCTCAAGACAAGTCATTTTTCAATTCTTCCCACACTTTAATTCATTACTGTTCACCACATGTGCCCCCCAAAAAGGAAAAGACATGGGTAACAAATACACAAACCCGAAAACACACATGAATGAAATCCAAAAGCCTCTCTCCCTCATTGTATCCAGAAGTGTCCAGAGGGACGAGAATGAGAGATGAAGATATCACCACCTCTGGAATACAAGTAGCACCAATTAACACATTTTCACAATAGAGGGATTTTCTTACCAGGGCTTTCTCAAATTACTCTTTCTGAACAATACCATTCAAATGTTAAGCTGTAGTGAACATGCAGAACTACCCCAACAAGTGCTCCCAGCCAGAAGGAGAAAAGAATTCCCATTATACTTATGCCTTTTTTTTTAATTAGGCCGAGAGCATTAGCCTTATTTTTTCATTCCATGATCTTCATGGATTTTAGTTTAGCGATACATTAGCAATAATCATGGCAAAATACAAATTACCCTTTTAATATTGCTTTTAGTCCAAATGAGTTGACAGACACTCCTTGGGGCAAGAACCTCTTTCTCTATTTGCTACCTGCCACACTACAAAGTGATGTGGTGCTGGTGAGGCAGCTTCCAGCTGTAAAGCACGTGCTCATGTCATCACATGTTCTAGTGCCCAGATTAAAGTAACCCATAATAGGTCTCCTTAAAAGACCAAGTAAAGAAAGCAGAATTTCAGAGAACGAGATAGGATGAATATGGAAGAATCAGGCACTCGATTATCCCAGGAAAAAGACTTTCCAGAAGAGGTGCAAAGCCAGGTGGCAGAGTACAGAGGAAGTAGACACCTAGGGCTGAAGAACCACCCCAGTTCAACACAGATACTTATTTCTGCAGAAAGGAAACACGGCATGCTAGCAAAATCCTGTGCCTATAGCCCTTGATGCTCACTGTTCCTGCACAGAAGGCAGCAGATCCATACCAACCCGATCTGCCACGCTGCACGCCGCCAGAGCCCGTACGTTTTGGTACTGAATAAAGGCAGGCAAATACCTAACAGATTTGCTTACAGAGTTTCACTTTTTTATACATACTGTGACTGATTCTTTCTCCCCTGTCTCCCCAAATACCTTAGGGCTCCAGTTTACATCAATAATGGCTTTCCTTTAATTATTACAGTAGGCAATGCTAGAAAGAAGCTGAACAGAGTCAACTTTGCTCTACCACGGACACGAGAGATACAAACATTGTACAAAGAACATTATCCAAGGAAAGTTGAAGTCTTAGTTAAAAACCAAATACAGTTAGCATCAGTGATTTCATTTAGTACTGTCAAGGGATCATCCATATTCAGGAATAACTTCTTCCATCACACCTGCCTACAAAGAAATAGGCTTTAAAAAAACCCCAAAACGGTCACAAGAGTATTATGCACAGATTTACTCCTTGCCATTGCACAGTCAGGAAGTTCTGACATTTAAGATTACTTGAGAGTAAAGCTGTCTGTATTTGCAATTTGAAATGAGAAAGTACATCCTGCCTGTTTAAATTATTCTCAGACAGGTTGCCCAAAAAGATGATTTTAAAGATGCCCAAATGTGTATCAGCCTAAGGCCATATTGTACTTGCTTTCAGTTTCAAAGACTTCCTTTCATCTCTGAAGAATGGAATGTTGTTTACTGCTCAGGATGTTTTGCCATGTTATCATGAATGTATTACAAATGTTCTGCTTCTCAAACCAGAGAGTTTGTCAAAACCACTCTTTATTCTACATGAGAAGTCTTAAGCCTTTTATAAATCCTGCTCAGATATATTGGGACACTTAAATGTCTAAGTCTAAACATCCTTCTCGAGTTTGCTATCCTGCATAATTTCACAAGAAAGAAAAAAGGTCCACAGAGACTTGCTTTCTGGTAGCAAGAAGCCTAAGTACTAGGCACCGGAATGGAAGATGGCATGGGAGAAACAAAAAGTAGTTTCACTGGCAGAATTACTTTCACCTACTGCCCTTACGACTCAGTCTAGTAAGGCAACCCATACAAGAAGCATCTTAAAATACAGCAGGTGAATTTGTGACAACAAAATGCTACCAAGGTTTATGGTAAGTTTTAGGCATGTTATGTCCACGTTCTTCTAAACTGGCAATGTAAATAATGGATCACCACCTTTCAACAGCAACACTGCTATCTGTCTCACTTTGGGGCAATCTCATGAAGCTTTTAATAAAGCAGACACACCGCAGACGATGAGAAATAACTGAAAAGTACCTAACAGGCAGACTTGTTAAATATTCAGAAACAAATCCGGCAATAATTACAGAAAACCACTACGAAGAACAGGAATAGTTACTCGATAGAAGCTCGGGGGAAGAGGAGAAAGGGATGGGGAAAACTGTTCTTGTGCTAGACACATTTTTTCAAGTTTTTCCAGTGGTATTATAAAAAAAATTAACTATACCTTCAGCTTCATGTGAAAGTGTATTAAAAAGCACTTCAAAAGAAGTAAAGAATAGCTGCTCAAAACCTGGGAACGCTGCTTTCTGCAGCTTGTCTAGATACAGATTCCTTCAGTTCACTTGCAATAACCATGAAGCGTTCAAGGAGCTGATTGTGCCTCCACATCAGAAAAAAATCAGAGGAACAAGTCTACCTCACCTCCTTAGAGAGGTCTCTTGTCACAGCCCAGGCTGAGGGAAAACCTACAGCACAGATGTCAGCACCGTCTCAGTTACGCTGCAAATAACTGCGCTTCATACAAGGTCCTTCCAGACTCCAGGGTGCAAAAACACCGGCGTATTTTCAATCCTAGCATCTATTAACCTTCCCAGGCCCCATGAATGAAAAAGGCTTAAGTTTTATCAGGAAGGACAACTTTACCACCACTTCTTCCATAAGAGTCACTTTGCAGGCTCCTGTCACAAGCCAACCAGCCGTTCGCTTGAGCCACGCTGCGGCTTCACGAGAAAGAGGGGCAGAACTGGCACCACCACTTGCAGGACAGCCCGCCACACGTTTCTCCTGTCCCCAGCCAAGATGACTGCTCACAGAAGTAGGCTGTCAGTCTCCTTGGGAAGAACTTCCGTAACTTCCCAGGCCCTGGAAACTGTTACCCTCCAGCACAACATTCAGAGATCTGGTCAGACCAAGATTTGTTAGCTGCGCCTCCAAGGCACACTGAAAATGCAAAACCGAAGAAAGTCCACAGCTAAATGTCCAAGCAAGGGCCATTTCAAAAGCCATCCAAAACAGCCACCGCGACTTCAGCTGAGGGACCACGACAAGTAGCTGCTGTGGAAGACCACCACAGCTTTGTTACCCTCCACTACAGAGGGAAGTTTCTCTGGGCCACCATTTTGTTCGGTCCCTTACACACAGTGCTCTCATCCACAGTTCTTCCTATTACACACAAATATACGTCCCCATCAAATTTACCAGAAACAATCCTTTCAAGCATATAACACCCAGACTCGTTCTCTTACCGTATGTAACCTGCCATTTCATGTAAGAGAATTCTCATTTCTTGCTACAGGGAAAGATAAAAATAATTCCGTCTGAAGATACAACAACACGCAATTCATCTCCGTACCTCCGGCCCAGATCCAACGTTTGATGAATCCAATGGTCTTTTCTTCCTTGGTCCAATGGCTGCCAAAGCTGTGAGGTTGGCTTCTCTTTGTTGTGTTTGTGCTAACTCCAATTGTTGCATCTAGTTTAAAAGGAAAACACCAATGTTAATGACGATATACAGCACCCTGAAGGTCTTGGTTCTCTTGATGGCCGCTTCAGATAGCTGCGCAGTCCCTACTGAAACAACTGAAACAACGACCTTCACAGCATCTTTTCCTGTCCTTCTGGACCCTTCTGACAGATGCCAGTACTCAGTCATACTTAGAGCTCTGAAACGCAAACGGCCCTATAGACAGCACTGTGTGAGCAACACTCCACGGAGACCCCACTGCGGCATCAACGTGGCCTCAGCAGGAGCCTTGCTGCTGGCTCCTCAGCTCATAAGCTTTGATATTTCTGATTAACAGAAAATATTGATCAGAAGTGGCTTCTGAGGCTGGATTAGCATTAAAAGTTGAAGCAACCAAGTTCTGTGAATTGAGCGTATTGTTAATTCAGAATCAGCTGGGGTGGGCTTTTTTGCAAGTCTTATTTCACGTCAGAAAGGTAGACTTGTTCTTACTTTAGTGATGCTGGCAGCTTCACCTCAAGTACTGCAGCAGCTGGGCTATTTAAAGAAAAATGGTAGTGCAGTGGAAGATTCCTAAAAGGACATCCTCTCCTGTAAGACAAGCTACGGACATTGTAAAGATTTTTCAGCAGAAAGCAGGGAATGTAAGACTTTGACGTGCATATGTTGCGAGCAGTCAGTCTGGGGGGCTTTGGTGGTGGCTTTGGTATTGTTTTGTTTTGTTTAAAATGAGACAAATGCTTCAGTTATGAAAATAACACTGTTTGCAAGTCCACCTTGATCACACGTCGTAGGCTTTTGCTTACAGAACTGTAGTAGCACTTCTTCAGTGCTAGATACCCTCATTCACTTGCCACACACACTATTCTTGCTTTTGTATGCAGTATAAACACTTTTAACCTTATTTATCAAAATTCACTCAGTTCTGAATGGGGTTTTGTTTGGGTTTTTGTGGTGTTTTGTCGTGTCCCCCCCCCCAAAGTATACAGTAATGCTTTCAAGAATATTTTGGAGACTATAAGGTTTCATGTCCCTTAAACTTGAAAACTACTGCTGTTCTGCAGTTGTGTGAGGTTACCTCCAGCTGGCCTATTTGCTTAAACAATGAAAAGTTTGAGATTAAAGAGAAGTTTATCTTAGTCTTAAATATGTATATTTATATTCAGGAACACATGGCAAGCCATCACGGATGGGGGAAATAACACTAAATCCACAAAAGTAACTTGAAACGTCAGAAACTCTGGGAAACACTGAGGCTTGGAAACTATCTTTATGTGACGTCCTCATCACTGCCCGGATTAACGGGGAGCAACCAAAGGCTGAGGTGCTTTGGCAGAGGCAGGTACCGGCTTCCAGCCCCAGCTCCCAGGCCTCCAGCACCCGGAGCCAGCCCCGCTGACAGGCAGCTGCGGAGCAGCCCTGGCGGAGTCACCCTCCTGCTAGCAGTGCAGTTCAGTCGTCACAGCGGTCACACCTGCACCACAGTCTTCTTGCCATGAGAAGAGACGTTGCAGCACGCCATGCACGTGGCATCCCGCTGGGGGCAGATTAAATTCCAAAAGGCTCCCGGGGCAAAGGAAACCAGAAGAGGAAAGATGGTTTGCTTTACTTTTAACAATCGTTACACTTAAAATGAAAAAGACTTTTAAAACCATGAAACTTAAAACAAAAGCAAAACCAAACAAAAGCCTTTATTAGCCTAACTTTGTGCTTCCATCTCTGGGAGCCACTAGAAAACATCTCTCCACTCTCCCTCAGCCCCACAAAACCCATACAAACCAGTTTCACCGCAGTGAGAGATGTCAAAATGGGGTGGCTGCTGAACATTTGGTCACTGGCTTGAGGCACACGAAGACAGACCCCTCCTCCTTTTTACAGCTGACCCCGATGGGCAGCCACGGACAGAGCTAGGGATTAAACACTGAGGGGGCTCTGGGATGGCGTCCGAACTGGGTGGGGGGAACTGGGTGGGTTGAGCGCCTCTTGGCTGAGGACGAGGCAGCACCTGGGCACCACCACTCCTTTACCCCACGCCACTCAAGCTGACAAAGCATGCCGAGAGATGTCCTACAGGAGCAAGCACTGCTGCTGGAGGGCAGTGCCGGCAGAAAACCCACCGATACAGAGGGCGGGATGACACTTGCCGGACAGTATGGAAAAAAGATGTGCTTTCTAGAGATGGAACTGATGTCTCTGCGGCCACACGGTTCCCAACACGATGCCACAAACACGTGTCATTACCATCGTCTGCTCTCCCCAACACATTTTCCACCTCGCAACCAGTCAAAGGATTTTTCAAATCAGGCAGAATTTCACCAGGGTTTTTGGATCAAAAGAAAAAAAGAAATCATAGTCTTGTTGCATTTCAGGCATCTCGGGGATTTTTCTGAGAACATAATTAAGACAAATGAATTTAAACACTCAATCGCCATAATGGACTCAACAGATCCCCATTAAGCGATACGGGCAGGCATCCAAATCACCCTGCTGAAGCCAGCAAAATCATCTTTTCATCAACTTTTGTTCCATTAAAAAGTGTGAGATTAAATGTCCAAACATTGTGCGAGCAGTTAAAAGCACAGGATAAGGAGAAGACAGGCAGATAACATCAAGGGATACCCGAGGATACTGGCTGGCTAACTACTGCCAGATTTTCCTAAAAAAAGATTAGGAAAGAGCAAGAGGCAACTATGTTGAGTCAAATCTTTCTTTAACAGACAGTTTTGTAGCACACAAGTTAGGGCAGAAAGATCACTGCAGCAAGGGAAAGACAGTAAAAGTAGCATGTACACTTCATTGAAATATAACAGAGAAGCTGCATCTAGTATTGCTTCCCTTCTAGGGGGCAGTTTTATTAATATTGGTGTCTGACTAAATAGGATACAAATAGAAACTGTCATACACAGGTGTGTATCTTAAAAACAGATGATTTTTTTTTTCCCTTGAAGACAGAAGTGTGTAAGGGCAATTCAAGAGGAACAGGGGTGAACCTGCACCACACATTGGACCCACAAACTAGCAGGTTGTTTCCCCTCAACCTGACCTACTTCATCTGCTGGAAGATGCTGCTGTTCCACCATGACACAGGAGTCCAGCACACATTCTGTTCAACACTCATTGCTCCAGGAGAGCGCTGAGAGGGGACAGTCTCCAGACGAGAGGCAAATGAATGTTCATGCTCCTTCTCCCCTCTTTCTGATTTTCACATACGCTAAGAAACTCAGTACAAAGAGTTCTAAAAACCTGTGTATAAAGATCAAATTGCTATGAAAACGTCTCAGAACTTGTAAAATAGTCTTTGTTGCTGCTGGCCTTTTTAATAATAAAAATAGGGTTTAAAGTCTGGTCTTGCAGCAAGCAGGAATCTCTAGGGTGACACAATAACCATTTTAGTTAATCTGACCTGCAGCACAAATCAAGAAGTAAGGTATGTTTTAAAGTTCTCCCTTATAGTGAAATGGCATTTGCAGCATGGCTGTAATCACACAAAATGAAAGGTTTTAAAATTGACCTCTCTGTTCCTCGCTCAATCCTCTGCTGAGAAAAATATTTCTTTTCCTGCTCACAGAAATTCTCTCACTTATGTCTCACACTCCACATTTCAGAAAATACGCAAAATCTATTTTTACTACTGCACCAACGATATTTTTGCGTCTTTTTATTATTAAAAATTAGATTTCAAGTTGCATAGGATGGCAAGAAGTACTTCAGCTATGAGATGCCAAGACTTTTTTAAAGGAATACTGCAAGTTGGTTTTAAACACTTTCAGTTACGAAGTACACAATATGCAGTTGTCAGCATTATCAGAGCTCCAATAATTCAAGTTATGCAAATCCCCTAAGATTTTCCCTAAACACTGCAAGGAAGAATCCCTTCAAACACGTCTGAAGAAAGGAAAAAGTACACTCTACTAATAAACCCAACTAATTCACACCAGGTAATCCACGATGCGCACAGCAGCAGATGGCTGTATCATCAGAGGTGGGAAACAGAAGAGCTGAATATGCGTTCACCTTTGAAAAGGAGTAACGACAACCCTCATGTCTGGTCACAAAGCGCCCAAAGCAGAGCAGGGTACTTGGTATAAGTGTTCATAGAAGACAAAGCACACAAAACCTTTACTATCTAGATCCTCAAGAACAGTTTTACCAGGTTCTTAGAGGTAGAAACAAGAAATTAAGCATCTGTATTGGCCAGGGCTCACAGAGCGGTAACAGGTCTGAGGTTAAAGAAAAGCCAAACAGGTGGCACTTGTCCAGCACAATGCTGGCAGAATACCTGTGTCTCAAGAATTTCATACCACTGCCCACTTCCGCAGGAGCTTCAATATACAGAGTACTAAGAAATAAATGAATGAGAGAATTCTTTTCTCTGCTTCTCGGATTTAAGTGCCAGGAACTTATGTTTAGGAAAAAAAAAAAAAAACAACAAACCCAAAAATAGTCTTGGCAATGCAATAACAAATAAATACAGGCGTATGGATGTAAATGAGCTCAGAAGAAATGCTGGTAAGACAGAAAGACAGATGGGGAAACTAAACATCACAGTTCTGGATTTGGTTATAATTATTATAAGGGAAAGACTAAAAAGCATGTGTACAAGATACTGGGTTTAATATCAAGACAAAACTGGGGCTGTCTCCACATATGACATTGTAGGCTGACAGACTATGGGATAGATTAAATAAATATTTAAAGTAACAGAAGAACTGGCAGGAAAGGAAACCAGGGAAGGCTGAAGACAAGTTAATGTATGCCTAAGGGTTATGTGTCCTATCCAGCAATAAGTACATCAGGACTAATAAAAGCACTGAAGTAGATGAACAAGAATTTGTATAAGACTTGGGAGGGGGGGTTTGAAAGCAAGGAATACAAGTATACAAAAGAGGCAGAAGCCCCTGATTCTGTCAGCTCCCACAATAAAGAAATTAAACAATAAATTAATGAATATTAAAAAACAAAGCAATTATGACCAAATATCAACATTTACTTTTTTCTAGCTTGCATCA